TGCCAACCTTTAGGCTGGTAGAACTGTGCTCCGTAGGGTTTTATGAAGGCAGATCATCAGGCTTTTCTTCCTTGGCGCTGCTGGGTGGGTTCACATCGCCAACCTTTAGCTTAGTAGTCAAGCACAAACTGTTTGAGCCACCCAGGAACCTCCAGGAAGTCATTAGCAAATCTAAAATTCTAGTCCCACTCTGACCCCTCCCAATGGAATTATTGTTATTATTTTTGCTGGCTGTCAGTGCTGAACTCAAGCTGAGAATTTTCCAGATGTGGCTTCATAAATGCTGTCTGTAGAACTGAACTGACTCAGGTAACAGTGAACATCTTCTATGAACTTTTCATAAAGAAGCCACATGAATTTCATTGGGAAATTTCTCTAAGACTGCTTTGTCAGATTCTAGGGCCTCCATTTCCTGTACCTCCCAAGTCGTCCTCCTCAATGGTGGTGCAATGAATTCCCATCGTCTGATTCTCTGCTTTCAGCCTGAATGTCTGGTTCTTCGGCTTACAGGTTAAGTTCTCCTGAATCTTCAGTGTTTCAATGGCTAAAAGACAGGGAATGGAGGTCAAACATCAGCATCCACTTGCCTGCCTGCTCCAATGTGATAATCCTTTGCACCTAACACAAAACAGATGGAAAAGTTTGCACCCTAGGGAACTGATTCCTCCTGATTACTGCGGGCAAGCAAACTTCAAACCTCACTGAGCTCTTAGCAAAGGTCAAAAGTAAATCAGAGATTTAACCAGCCCTCCTATGGAGCAATTGGTTAAGTGCTTTCACCATTAGCTGAAAGGTTAGTGGTTCGAATCCACCCAGTTGTGCCATGGAAGAAAGGCCTAGTGATCTGTTTCTGAAAGGTCACAGACAAGAAAACCCTCAGGAGCAGTTCGACTCTGTAACACATGGGGGTTTCTGTGAGTTGGAATTAACTCTATTGTTGGTTCTGGTTTTGGATAATCTTTATGGGAGCAGATTGCCAAGCCTTTCTTCTGTGGCACCACTGGGTACGTTCAAACTGCAAATCTTTTGGCTAGTAGTTGAGTGCAAACAATCTGCACCACCCAGGGACCTGAAAGATTATAGCCAAGAAAACTCTACGGAGGACAGTTCTACT